TGGGAGAAAAATTGTTCAGTAGGGTGCCCCAGGGAAGGACAAGGAGCAGTGGACTTAAACTGTTAGAGGATAGTTTTAGGTTGGATGTAAGGAAGAACTTCTTTATGGTTAGGGTGACTAGAATCTGGAATAGACTTCCCAAGGAGGTGGTGCAGTCCCCCACCCTTGGAAGTCTTCAAGAGGAGACTGGACAGACACTTTGCTGGGATCATGTGATCTCAGTAGTATTCCTGCCCAGAGCACGGGGGGTGGACTCAATCTTTCGAGTTCCCTTCCAGCCCTTAATTCCTATTATTCTATGAATACCAACTGTAAGACAGACCCTTTGGGAGCCCCATTTGATACCTCTACCCAACCAGACATTGAGCCATTGAGGACTACTCACTGAGCACAGTGATCAAACCAGTTACATATCCACCTTACAGTACTTTCATCTAAACTGTACTTCCTTAGTTTGTTAATGTGGATGTTGCGGAGGACAACGTCAAAAGCCTTGCTAAAATCAAGGTATACCACACCCATTGCTCTCCCCACATCCACAGAGCCTGTCACTTTATCACAGAAGGAAATCAGATTGGTCAGGCATAACTTGCTCTTTGTGAATCCATGCTGACTGTTCCTGATCACCTTGTTGTCCTGTAAGTGCTTCACAATGGATTCCTCAGAGACCTGCTGCATAATCTTTCTGGTTATAGAAATTGGGCTGACTAGTTTGTAGTTCCCCAGATCCTCCTCCTTTTCCTTCTTAAAAATGGGCACTATATTTGCCCTTTTCCAGTCATCCAGGACTCATAAGCAAGATAACTCATTTAAGAACTCTCTCTGGTCCTGAAGAAGTCCAGGCCAATAATCAAGAGTTCAATCCCTAATTTTTCTCTTTCCAAACCACATGGTGAAGCATGGAGGGAAGACTTAAATTAACAGTTGCAGTTTGATAAAAATGTTAGACAACAGAACCTGGAGGGAGGGGGGGAAAGAGATCTAGAATCCCATACTTACTTTATCCACATCATAAGTTCTACTGTATCTGGGTCATAAAATTCTTGCAGTTCTGAGAGCTCGGTCATTATCCTAGGAAAAAACTGCAGGGAAAAGTCAAATAAGTCTCTTCCCTTGTGTCATTTTAAACAAAGTTAAGATATTCTGAGATGGAAGGGAATCCAGTAAACTATTTATTGGAAACCTTGCTTTCCTTCAAAGTATCATTTTCATGTAAATGCCTTCCTGGCACTTAGACAGCATTTGCTAGTCTCATACTTTCTCTTAATATTCCCCCAAATGCACACACAAAAATAAAGTTACAGTTTTTACCCCCATCCTGCTACCATTTGTGCACAAGTAACAAACTCGTCTAAGTCGCCCAATAGTGTGCATTACTAGATAAGGTATTTAGTAACCATCAGGTGGACTGAATACAACAAAATTGTAATTTTATGCAAATTTGGCATTTGTATTTCGAACGCATTAAAATTCTTCTCTTTTCTCAAAGCTTCCCATCCCTCTTTGTTAAAATATTAATGCCCAACCATTTTTTAAGGACAAATGTAAAATTAAAGTCAGTTCCTAATTGTATTTAAGAGTCACAGTAAAACAGAAGAATGGAGTAGTATCTTTACACAGTAAAATATCTTCATAATGATATACCTCATCACTGAACATGTAATATTTAAACAAATAGTTTCAAATGACCAATTAAATTTTAATAACCTCCTTGCATAAATATATATATAATAGACTAATTCAGTTTCTGTGTAAATCCTCCAGAATTAAGAGTATTAAACCATTTAATTTAAAGCCCTTAAAGCAAAACAAAAAACCCAAGAACACCAAATTCTTCCCTCTGACTTTTAAAACATAAACTTGAAGCATAAAATAGTAAACTAAATTGCAGTTACACTTTTACAGAAGAGAACAACTTTATATATACACAATACTCTCTACCAATAGATGTATTCTCCTAAATGACCACAGCATCAATTTCTTTTAGTATAAAGTTATGGTTTCTGAGAAAAATGCAATATCCAGAACTTTTAACAATTTTGTAATTTATTTTTTCTTACTTTGATTTCTGTTTTATGATGCAAGGATAATAGCTTCTTCATGTCAAGTTTCTTACCTTACAGTAGTTCAAAAAAACCTTTTCTATATACATGTTCCACTGTGGCTGGGCACAATGAGCCCTAGCTTTGTCACAGGGGCTAAGTACAGACAGTCAAAAAGCCTGAGGCTGAATTGATTCAGTCTCTGAAGGTTAGTCTAAGCTGCAAAGGTTGAATCAATAAGCAAATGAACAGACATTCACTTTTGATTCAGGAAATGCAACCACATGCCTGCAGTGGCTCAGGCCAGAATCTGGGGGGCACTAGAGCACAGCTCTCTGGCATGTGGCCAACATGGGCTGTTTGTTTGCTTCCTCTCCCCCTGCCCCAGGCCTCTGGGATTTGCACTCCAGAATCACACCAGCAGGATTCTTCAGGGTTGCTCATCACTTCCTCTTCCTGCTTCCAGGTGCTTCTGGGATTTGTAGTCCACAGTCACAGCTAGCAGTAAGTTTGGCAGGGCAAGGCTGCTGTACTTGGGGCAAAGGGAAGTTTAACTCCCCTCCCTGACCCCAGACTGCAGCTGGGGTTTGCTTGGGGGAGCCAGCCCTCACTGTTCCAGACAGGGAGCAGAGGGGCAGGGCAAGCCCTGCTCTCTGGAGCAGACAGAACAGCCCAGCCCAGCACTACAAAATGCTAGGATGGTGGGAGACTCTGATTTAACTTGAACCAAGAAGGGGTCTGGGACAAAAGTTTCATAAACCAGTTCGACCTAAATCAGTTAAGTCTGATACTACATTCAACTGGGTTTATCTTAAACCAGTTTCAGCCATTTTGAAACTAGTTTATGTGCACTGTGCTTCTATTCTGTTACAGGTTTAAACTAGCTTCTGATCACTTAAACCAGTTTATGTGTAACTTCTGTCCCTAGCCTTTCTGACCAGCAGTACCTACATAGCACACTATCACCCTGAAGCTGCTTAGTGTCTGCACTGAGAGCATAAAAAGGCAGAGCACACTGACCATCCCTGTTTCCTTTCAACTGTAGAAATTCAGGAAGCAGAGGAAGTGGGAAAAAAGGGTGTATATGAACAACACATTCTGAAAAATTCTGGTTACTTTTACAGTACTTTTCATTTGCCTCCAAATGATCTTCCATGGGCACATTCCATTTATGATTGACTAACACAGTAATCAAAGTTCATCTGGAGATGGGAATCTCAGAAACTCAGGGGAAAAAAAAAAGACTGAAACACTGCTTTACCAAATGCAGTTTCCAATTTGGAAGCTTCAGATACTGTATAATGTCTAGTGAAACAGACATCTGTGGCTAGAGCTTCAAGTGGCCCTTATGGTGGACTCTCGAGCAGTAATAAGAAATAAAGCATTTCCTTGTGCTCAGAAATTATATCTGGACAGTAAGGATTGATAACTGTTGAACCTAAATGACAGGCTTCTGGAAGAGCATGCCTCACACCCTAATGAATCTGCTTTCACTCAATCATTTTTGTCGCTCTCAGCTGGACTATTTCAAATTTGTCTACATCTTTTAGGGTTGTTGGTTGTAGCTGTGTTGGTCTAAGGGCATAGGCAGTCAAGATTCTTTGGGTAGATGTGATATCTTTTCTTAGACCACCTAAATAGTTGGAAAAAAGTTATTTGCAAGCTTTCGGGTACAAACACCCTTCTTCAGTCACTGGGAGACTGCTGTTGTTATGAGTTCTCCAAGGTAGAAGAGAAGCTAAAGTAAACAAGAAATCTACAAATATGCAAAATGAGCAGAAGTTTGGAGCCTGACATGTAGACTCAGTCCTTTCCCAGTACAGCTGGGCAAAGTCAATGGGGCAGCCTGAGTGGCAGAGGCCAATAAGTAAGGAAGGGCAGCACAGTCTGTCAGGGTACTTATTTCTGAATGGTCCAGAACATGGCCATACTGGCAAAGACAAACAGGGTCCTTGTGGCCAAGGTATTAGCAATTATGGCCCATGATATGGGTAGTAAGTGTCCCAGTAACTTATCCCAAGATGATTTTCTAGATTCCTTATGAGAAATGGGGACAGTGGGAGAATATCTATGCAAATATTTAAAAACCTGGCTATTGCACAAGGCATTAGAGACATGCTCAGCTTTTTATGTCCTTTATGCAAAACAAGCCTCAGGGTAAATGTAAGCTATCTGGTTACACTTCCCAGAGCCTTTAAGTTTGAGTCTGAAAGGCGCACACATTAATTCCACCAATGGAATGTGCATATAGACAATTAATGGAGAACTGGAATTGCAATATGTGGAGCCCTCTAGTGTCCAAACACTCGAAACATTTTTGTTAGGAGAATTTCAGGGACAGACCCCAGTCAGTTGAAAAAATTATAACATTTACATTTAGCAAGTTTTGGAAGCCACTGTGCTCCTCTCAGAGCATTTATTACACTGACAGAATACAAGGGAAAAAATTACATCATACTAATACATTTAACATCATATCAGAACTTCAACTGCTAGCCATTAGAATCATACATCCCTACAAACATTAAATTACTGGGGATAAGAACTCAGCTCTGATGCTGGATTTTTTTTTAAAATATTATTATAAATTTTTAAAACAACTAGACTATTTGAAACTTCTCTTGTTATGTACATGGTTTACAGGTTACAGATTCTGTTGCATATGCAAACCATCAAATACTTGAAATTTTAAGCAGCTGCTAAGAAATAGCTATTTCGAACTCAATTATAGAACTAAACATTTACTTTACACAAGAACAGATCTGTTTCTTTCTTATATTATTTGAGTATTATAGTATTTGACTATTCTTTCTTATTATAGTATTTGAGTACAATATTTCCATAAAGAGTTGGAAATGAAAAAAATCCATCTTTAGTTGATAGGATGTCCTTAAAAGAAACTACTGTTTTCTGTAATTCTACCTTCAGTTAACCTTAGCTTCTCACTGAATAAGAGCACAGGATGACATGCTTATACAATATTCTAATTACAATAAAGAAAATACAATCAATCACTTTATAAATTCAGTAATGGCATTTTGTCTTTAGCTAAACTAATACAATGTGAATTATAATAAAGATGATGATATAATAATAACAAAATGGTATAATTATTGTTGTAATGAAATATATTAATATTTTATTGTTATAATTAAAACCTGGTATTATGATTATGTATCCTTATTAGTGAGGAATATATATATATATATACTTTTATTTAAACATAAAACAAAAATGTTTTTAATAATGGATACAGTCTGATGTTACTGATTATTTTATGTAAATGTAGACAAGATACTCCTAAGACTTTATACTATGTCTACAGCAACCACTTAATCAAAAGAAACTTTCTTACCTACCTCTTTCCACAAGCTGAAACCTATTATAGTGGGGACTGCCATACTCAGAATAAGAGCCTAGATATTAAAAAGAATACATGATTAGAGACCACTCTTTCATTTCTCACACATAGAACTACAATGACAATAGGAAAAATTCTGCAAGTCTGCCAGGCAAAAGTCATTGCGAACAGAAAAGAAATTGCTTGGTTAAACATTGAAGAAGTTAGCCCATTGTAACATGACTAATAATATTCAAAGCAATTCAACAGTCAGCCCAATGTGATGAAGTGCATCCATGAATTAGGAAAGGAAGTAAAAGTGAAATAGGTTTCAAATACGCAAATGCAATGAAGGGATATGTAGAATGAACTATGCCAATAAATTTTTTAAAACTTACAGGCACCCTCTCATTCATAGTCACAATAAACAACATATATAAACAGTATTCCATCACACAGCACAATAGTATTCCCATTGAACACCTTCCTTTTGATCAGAAGGGGGAATAGCATAAATACTGTTTTGGCAACAGCTGTTAATAAGTGCATACAGTGCATCTCGTTGAGAGTTAAAATTGAAGTGCAATCAGCTAATTAACTACATAAGGAAAGCAGATCCACCATAAAAGAAGACATTCAATTTATGATTATATTATGGATGAATGAGTACGTTCTTGCAAAAACTGTCAATTATTCTACAATTGGAAGTGCCTTGGCAACTCCTGAAGAAAATATACTTACACAGAAAGTGGCATGTCCATTTTGTACAAATATTAACTACTTATTCTTAAATAACATGTTATAAATTGTTTTCAGGTTTAAATACAGAGGGATAAAAACATATGCAGACCACACCTTCCTCCTGCCAAGCATACTCAGCACCTTAAAAACAGAGCTGAAAGAACTGAGAAACCCCAATTTTCACTATAACACAGATCCTTTGAAGTCAGGATGCCTTTCAGAGACTGTAGTATAAATGAATATACAACTAATCTGAACAAATCTTACTCTAGCTATCATTTCACTTGAAGATTTCTTACTCATACACAACAGTTAAATACGCATTTACCCTAGTTGCCTTATTTTCCAGTCTTTCCATTTCCTCCCATCCTCCAACTTTCATTTATTCACTGCTTCGAAGCAAAAAAAAGAGATGTGTTCATTAGCAGTAAAATCTAGCAATAGATTATTGGCAACAGTTACTCACCAGTAATATTGGGTGCACAGCTTTTAGTCTAAGCCACTTGAAAAGTGTCATCCAAAGCTCAGGAGAACATACACCAAATGCAGCAAGCATGCAAACATACGGAGTCCAGAAGTACTTCATGCTGGAAAACATCCCAAGAATATCCAAAGATAAGATACTGTATGTATTTCAACTGGATTATTTGATAAACAAACTTTGTCACCTCCAAACCTCTCTATGAATAACCCTGCTCAGGAGAATTCAGTCAGTTAAGGAGTTCAGTCAATTCAGGGTCAAACACTTAACAGAATAAGGAAACCTAAAGGAGATCTCTGCTAGCAGACCAAACATGTTTCTCTGCTGCAATCTAGAGCACTCTAAAAGTTCAGAAGTGTCAAGTAAGATCAAAAAAGTCTCAGCCAAAGAAAATGAAATAGTCCACAGAATTTGGGGGTGGAGGACCAAAAATCAAGCTAGTGAGGGATGTTAATTGTCTCATTTTTTTGCTCTAGGGCATCTCTGATGAGCGATTACCATTACCCAAAACTGATGATTTGAATCCTCCAAACAGATGATTCAAAACAGTCTCAAGCATCTGAAAACAAAACAGTTTGTTTGCTTTCAGAATCCATAGTGTTCAGGCACCAGAGTGATGCATATAATAGGGACACCTATGATGTGGCACGACGGATACCACTCAGACACTAATCTCTTTAGTGTTTGTCTGGCAGTCAGGAAAGATGACATTGTTCTAATCCAAACAGTAGAATGGCATCTGTCATAAACTATTAGAATATCTTTTTAAAAGGTTAAAACTGTTGTAAGGTGTTTGCCTGACATGTTAAGCAATTCTCTAAACAACTAAAAGACACACAAGCAGGGTTTTTTTCATTTTGTTTTGCAATAAACCTTGTGAATCAAAAGCATGATGTAAGATTACAATGGATTTAATAATTCAGCATTTAATAATTCAGCTCAGCAGCTGAAGATGAACAGGGAAACATTGAAATTGTGTTCCAATTAACCTCTCAGATTTATGCTGGGCAGAGCATAAAGAAATGTGTTTAGGGAAGCCAAATACACTTCAGTATATTCTACTGAAGTTCACTCAAGTACACTCAACAGGGAACGCTGGATGGCAAAATATTCTTTTAGAAATGGTCTCAACATTTGTGGAAGTATGAGTGTACCTGTCGCAGTGCCCTGCGTCTAAAAGCAGAAATGGCAGGAAAGACCCCTAGTGGTGAGAAAGGGGAGGCTCAACTGCCAGAGACCAGGGCAGCACAGGTGCTGGTTGCCAGGGAAACCAAGGGGGTCAGCTGACAGGAAGAGGCAGGGCTTGGCCCCTTCTTAAGCCCAAGCATAAGGCCAGGAGGGCAGGTCCCCTCCAGCGGCCGAGGGAGGAGGAACTCAGCCAGAGCAAAGGGGAGAACTCTGACGGTTGGAACATCCCCTGGTTCCTGCTGGGGGTTGATGCGCTCTCTCTCTCTGGTAGGGAGAGATTCGTATTTTTGACCAGAACAGTCTAGCTCTTATGTTGTAGCCCAGCGGCTTTGCGTTTTGTGTTTACTGTTTCACCAGAGGACCGGGTGAGGCTATTAGGGGTGGAGGAGGCCTCATAGGAGCTCCACGGTAGCGTGGGGTTTCCTGGCACCGGAGAGGGCGCAGCATTGTTTGGGGTGCACTGGCCCCAGCCCTGGAACGAGGGGGGGCAACAGGGAGCCCTGGAGTGAGGGGGGGCAGCAGGGAGCCCCAGAAGTAAAGAAGAGGGCCAAGGCATAGGGCAAACCATGTCAAGTACCAGCTGCGAGGCTTGGGCTGCGGTGTAGGGGAGGAAAAAGGAGCTGTAGGTAGACCCCCCTGACACCGGGCAGATAAAGTGGGCAGCCTCCCGCTAATTACATCACTCAATCAATCAAGATCAAGGCACGGCAGGCGAGTAAGCGGGTGGTTGGCCCAAGACAGGAAGGCGGAGCCACCAACAGAAAGGCTCCAGCGCGCCAGTCCTGTTACAGTACCATATTCAGTTAGCAATGTGCTAACCCTTACAAAACAAAAATCTATACAAAACTTACCCTTCTAAAATCATTGCAAGAGAACCCAGTAAAAGTGTGTGGATGATGTGATAAACTATCTCTGGCCGCTCTCCGATTTTGCCATCCTCCAGGGTAACAGTTTCTTTGAGTGGTTCACCACTGTAGTTAGAGGGAAACAAAGCAGGGTTTATCTTGCATACTATCGCAGATTATGACTTCTATAAAAAGTACCTGAGACAACTATTAAGCCTCTGGCATTTCCTTCTTTTCTAATAATACTAATATTGTTTGTATTGTTTACCGACTCCCCATGCCGACCTGTCTGCAATTTTCAGTCATTTCTTGCCTAATACTTTGCACGTTCTTTGGGGCATGGACCATCTTTATAGTCTGTGTTCATACAGTGCTTTGTGCAGCAGGGTTCCAGTCCCCATGTGTCGTAAGTACTATGGCAATACCTCTAAACAAGATGTTTATGAGCAAAATTTAATTTCTAATACAATATTGGTGTTAGGCCAGGGAAGGACAAAATACGGCCCGTGGGCTGGATCTAGCTCAGCCCTTCTGCCCGTGAGGGTGGAAGCAAGATGCCTGTGTATACACACACCCGCAAACATACCCTACTGCACCTCGCTCCCACTTTCATGGGTGGAAGGGCCTGGCCCAGCCAAAACATAGCTTCCAGCTGGGGCTGCCACTGCTGCAGCCCCTAGGGACCTGCTCTGCTTCCCTAGTCTCCTGCTAGCTCCATGCAGCAGGTAGGGAAGCAGCGAGGGTGAGGCTGCAGCTGCAACTGGGTAGGAACCCAGAGCATGGGGCTAGGGCAGAGGGCAGCATGGAGCCCATGCCTGGGGAGGAGGGGGGGCAGCAGCAG